AAAAAAAAAAAAAAATGCAAATATAAACCACCCACCCAAATTTCTGTCAGACAGGGGACTTCCATAGACTATGGTTATTGCATAACTGAGAGAGTCAACTGTTCCTGGAGAAGGGACTTGCACAAAATGGCATTCACTTCCCCCCAAAAAAAAGAAAAAGAAAGAAAAAAAAATCAACGTTACCCTCACAAACTGACAACCCCTGGAACAAAGCCTAGATCTTCCTGACTTTCTTCCCTTTGCTTCTAACAAAAGTCATGTGTTTGCAGAAGCGAGGTCAAGGGTGAGGGGCACGCGCCCACAGGACCTCAAGCCGAGGTCCTCTCTGGCCGGGGCATGAGGGGTATCAAAGGAGCCTGGTTGTCTGGCCTGAGGCAAGAGCTGCCCCCCCACTTCTGCCTCAGCGTCCCCCTAGCGAGGCGGCTCCCCCACGTCCCGACGTCTGCCTACCGCATACACAGTAAGCAGAGGCACCGGACAGACCAGAGAGAGAAGCCACGAGACCGTGAAGGAATCCGCAGTCCAGACAGAGTGGACATCAGTACACACAGCCCGACCCTCCCGGCACGGACGCATTCAAATCTGTCCCCTCGCTGTCGCTCTCGGGGCTCAGAAGGTCTAACTCCCTCCTCGCTCAGCAACATGGCAGAGCCTCGGACACAAGAAAGGTTGGTGGCAGGAGGGCGCGCGTTCAAACCTGTCTGCAACAAGCCAAAGCACGGTGGGCTCAGAGCCCAGCCCCGAGTGTCCGCACGGAGACCATCTTCTCCAAAGGGCACCCCCTCCCCATAGGGGCCTCCCAAGAGGGGCAGGTGGGCCCAGGAGCACGCCTTGCCGGGGCGAAGCCAGAGGGCAGGTGTGAGCTCACTGACCCAGGAAGCCATCGTCATCAAGGTCGCCCAGGCTGGCGATGCTCTCCCCAAAGTGTGCGTTGTAGGTGCCATCGCCGCTGAGGGCCAGCTGCTCCTCGAGGGCTCCCTGGGAAACAGGACGGAGGACAAAATGGAAAACACAAACAAAAACAGAACCAAAACAAAGAAAAAACACAATAAAACCAGAGCTTCAAACGCCACCCCCAAAGCACTCCCATCAGCGGGAAACGCCCGGGCATAATCACGGGCACCCAAACTTCTCTCTCCTCGTGGCAAAAAGGAGTCCCTTTCACCTGTGCAGCCAGAGGGTCTCCCACAGCCTGATGCCTTTTAGAGGGAAGGAGACGGTCATGTTGGCCGATGACTCCACCTCCCCCTTGTCCTGACACTCTATAAACCTGCCTGCCTACCTACACACCTGTCCCTACGGCATCCTCTAGCTGCCCTTACCTTTCCTCCCCAAAGTTGTTTGACACGGGCAAGCGCATCTCTACTTTTTGTCTCCTGCGCCTTTCGGTGCAAGTTTACAGAGCTGCTTTGCAAGGTGCGTGAGTTAGTCATCTTGACCGTCATGATTCAGAAAATCCAACACCCAGTAGGTCTTGGTCAGGGGGTGGGGGGTGCACACAGCCGGGCCCATCAGCACGTGTGGCTCAGGTTTGGATTTCCTGAGCGAACACCCACCGACAGAGGGAGGGAGTCAACGGTGCCCGGTGGCGACAAAAGCCACCCGAGGACACACGCTCTGCCTCCAAATCACTGACGTGTCAGTATCAGAGTATTAACACGCAATCTGATATCTTGAGGCGGAAGAACTTCGAAACCTGCCCCAGGGCAGAGGTACTCTGGACCCACTGCACACCCTCAAGCCAGCCCAGGGAGTATCTGGCTTCACATCACACCTTCTGACCCTCCCCACTTTACCGATCAGGAAACTGAGCCACCCGTTTTGAGCTCCTTTTCCACATGGCACAGGCTAGTAAGGGGAAAAGCCCAGATCCAGGTTCCATCGGACTCCAAAGCCATCGTGTTTTCCACTCCTCTGTGCTGCTTCGTAATCACTCATCAAACAGGGAGAGGCCCAACAGGTCGAAGAATATCTCGGTGCTCAGCGCAACCACCGGGCATTTAGGATACACTGGTTGGGGGGGTGGAACGTATGGGTGCCGCGTGTCGGGGGGCATTCTCCTGCTCCAAGATTCCTCGTGTAGACACTCTCCAGCTGGCTGCTGCGCTGCTCACCTTACTGCCTGACAAGTTAATACCTACACAAATGTTTCATCCTCTTGCAAACGTGGCTGGGCAGCCGCTAAAAAAATGCGGATGGTCTCACCTGTATCATGACCACCTCACCTCTCCCCACACGTGCCTGTCCCTCTCCCTTAGAACGTCAATGGGGACGCAGGTGCCAAGCCTCACGGCCACAGGTGCCAGGAAGTTATCTCGGCTCCCAGGTTTTCGATTCGCTTTCTCAAAGGGTCTGCAAGCATCCAAGATAGCCCAAGGCTCTAACGCTCGCTGGCTCCTTAAAAGGCTGTCCTTTCTTTCCGACATCTGCCCGCCTACAGTTCAATACCACAGCCCCCTCCGACTGGATTAGTTACCCGATTGGGATAGCGAGCATCTGGGTCCCTGCTCAAAAGTACATTTTTACCGATTTTTTTTTTTTTTACTATGAAAGTATTACATTCTTGCTCCTTGGATAAAATGAAAGCTAGAAATCTACCCAAGCCCCACCACCTACAAAGATCTGTTGTTAACGTCCTCTATGTATTTTGCGTACTTTTAACATTTTGGTGGGGGGGGGTTGTTTTTTGTTTTTTGAGGGAGAAAGAGAGCTTGCGTGTATACAAGTGAGGGAGGGGCAGAGACAGAGGGAGACAGAGGATCCCAAGCAGGCTCGGCACTGTGAGCACAGAGCCCAGTGTGGGGCTTGAATCCACGAACCACGAGATCATGACCTGAGCCGCAATCAAGAGTGGGCTGCTTACCCGATGGAGCCACCCAGGTGCCCCTGCGTATTTTTCAAGGTTGTTTGTACAAGCAGTCTTTATCGCTCTTTTCACTCATTAGCCCATAAGCATTTTCTCACGTTTGCTCAAAGGCTGCTGGTCACAAAATTGATGCATTTCACTCTCTTGTTGAACATTCTTAATTCTAGATGCTGAAGAGACTCTGCTCTCTCATTGGTCTCCTGCCTCCACAGGTGCACTGTTCCCCCTCCTCCCCGTCCCTGTCCCCCCAACCCTCCACTCAGCGGCAGAGGGGCAGAGGCACCTTTCTGACACCTTCACACCCCTTTCAAGGATCTGCGGAATCAGGGACACAGGGATCACAGCCCTTGGCCACTGCACTGGCCCCCACCCGACCCCCGATGCTGCACTAAGGGGGCCTGCCGCCCCATGCCTCAACCTGCTTGCCGAGCTCCAGCCCACCCCTGCCTGTGTGCCTGACTGCTTCCCCTTAAGAGCCTGCCCAGCCACTGTGTCCTCCAGGAGGCCTCTCTGCCCCCCTGGGCACGTGTCTACATACTGCCAGGGAGCCAGCTGGCCCAGGTGCAAGTCCCAGCCCACCGTTTCCAGTCGTGTGGTGGGGGGCAGTGGGCTTGACTTCTCTGGGCCTCGGCTGCTTCGCCTGAAAAACGGGGACCCCCGACCCCATGCGTATGTTACACAGAAATCATTTCTAGAAAATAGGAGGAACGGTTTCAGGTATGGGGTCAACACTCAAAATCAAATAACAGGGGTGCCTGGGTGGCTCAGCTGGTTAAGCAGCCCACTCGTGATTTCGGCTCAGGTCATGACTTCGGTTTGTGAAATTGTGAGACTGCTTGGGATTCTCTCTCTCCCTCCCTCTGCCCCTCCCCCGCTCACGCACACAAACGCACTCTCTCTCTCTCTCAAAATAAATAAACATTAAAAAGAAACATCAAACAACAGACATCAGACCTTACCGTTTTTCTCAGTCCCCGCGCATCTACAGTAATCACGCTGCGTATAGCTTTCCATTAATGGAACGCTGGGTTCTCTGACGGCAGGAGGCAGGTCTTTTCTCCTCCCCTGGGTAACGGGGCCCAGCGCCCAGCCCGGCGGGCTGTTCAGTCACTCCTCGCTGGACACGTGTCCCTCTCCCACACCCGTCCACCTGGCACCCAGCACTGTACTCACATTTCCTCTGTTGATGTAGACAGTGACCTGCCCCTCATCCCTGATCTCAGAGAACATGGGGGCCCCCACCAGCAGGTCAGAGAGGCCGTCCGCGTTCAGGTCAACTGCGCATAAGGAGGAGCCGAAGTAAGAGCCCATCTGCAACCAAGTTGAGTCGCAACAAAGCGTTCAGTGTCTGCCCTCACACAGGAGGCCCTCGCTTTCCTCCAGCCCGCTGCTTTAGAAACACTCGCTCCCAAGCGCCTCACAGGCCGTGATGGCCGTGCTGCCCCACAGGCCAGAGGGCCCCGGGGAAGTGGGGAAGCGCCTGACTTCCCCGGCTGCCGGTAGCAGGGCCGGGCCCCCGTCCGCGTGACCGCGAAGCTAACCGGCTCGGAGTCCCCCCTCCGCGGGGAGCCCTACCAAGCGGAAAACAAGCGGACCGGTGCGGGGAGAACAAGGTATGGGTCTTAAAAGTGCAAGCTGAGGTTGCAAAACGGGTTACAACCATAGTAAGAGCGCCTCATATAACAGACACGTGACAGGGCCAACCGAGTGGGAATATGAAATTTCATAACACAAGGCAAGCGTGAAAATAAATGCTGCACGGGGAACTAGGTTCCCCTCTCCCAGGCCGGCACGGAGCTAAAGCTAACCAGGAAGGCGTGAACTCCAGTGGCAGAAAAAGGTACAACTCACAAAACTACTTAATGGATAAGGGAACACGGGTTACACTGGCCAGTCTTGGATCGTAGCTGAACTCAATACCTATTCCTGTAAATCAGGGGCCTCAAACCCAAATGCCAATGGGATCCAGGAAGGTGTCGTAACAGGTGTTAAGAACAAGTAACACTGCAAGTAGGCTGATGGGTGACAAGGGACACCTGGCTTGGAACCAGCTAAGGAGGCCACTCCCACCCAGCCGAAGTCCACTGCCCCCACGAGGGAGGCTGACCCCGAGAAGGCCGACCTTCGCGTTTTTCAAGAGAAGCCAAAGGTCTACAATGTCATTTGAAGTGCCTACTTTTAGAACGCGGGCAACAAGTTCACAATAAAAAAAGAACAAACAAACATACCGGCAGGCCCAACAAAAGAATTTATAGGCTGCATTCTTTCCAAAGGCTGCCGGTTTGCAACCTCTGTTGGAAAGGAAAAAAAAAAAAAAAAAAAAGCCATTCTTTTAAAATAAATGTCTTCAAATAAAAGGGCTCCAGCTCTGCTGATGGGAACAAGCATTCTCTTTCAGTGTTGGGGTGTGCTGCGGCCGCCCCGGGGAGTGTGAGCAGTGGAAGGCACCCCGGTCTACTTCCTGCGGTGAACCCTGGGACAGGGGCCCTTCCCCAGTCACACGCTGAGGCCCACTTGTGCTCAACCCACCCCACCCTGTGACCAGCCATTCCCCAAGGAGAAGGGTGTGGGGAGAACTCAGAGTCAGGCAGAGACCAAGCGGCCGGCTCCAATTCCGTGGCTTTGCCAATCACTCTATCTGGACTTTAGTAAAACAAACAAACAAACAAATAAACAAGCTGGAAAGGCCCGGAGGACCTGGCTGTTCGCCCTGGTTGAGCCCCAGGGGAACGGTTAGTCTCATTCCAATGGGCTATTTAACTTGGCATCTTCGTCAATGTTCAATCAGAAATCCCTGTACGTGACTTTTCCTAAGTTTTGACATACAAACACTTCAGATACCCCGTTAACTCAGTAAAACTCCTATATGGCAGTGGTATGCTTTGGGGTAGGTGTTCCTTGATCAGAGCTCTCCCAGCAGTCTGGAAATGTGCAGACATGTGTCTAAATTAACACCTGGATTGAGCACATATTGGTGATTTCTTAGGAGCACTATACGAAGGATGTCAACCAATAAAAACCGGAATTTGGGGGTATTTTTTTTTCTTACGATGAGGTCAAGAGATAGGGTTGCCTGACCGAATTCTGGACGAACAAAAGCAGAAGTGAACCAGTGGTGGACTGAGTCGGAACCCTCCCCCATGTGTGTGACTCTGGACACAGGGGAAAAGAGCTACAGACATCCCTTGAAAGCCTGCGGTCATGTCCTTTCCCTCTGAAATAACGGAGAAGTCAGACTAGAATTCCTGGTTTCTTCTGGCAAAAAAGCAGAATAGGACATATAAAGAGAGTAATGGCATTTTTCAAAATCAGGAAGTGGATGGTGGGGATCAAGGCAGAGACCAGAGAAGTGGGAAGGAGAGTGAGAGGCAGAAAGGGAAGGCCCTAAAGCCAGAGTGGTGAAAGTGAGGGCAAGAAGAGCCCTCACGAAAATGACAGGTGACACGGCCATGGAGCCCTTCAGTCCCCTCCCAGGGAGCCCCAACACGTCATCAGGACATCCAAGCAGACACGAAGGCCAGTCTGTCCTGGGACCCCACGTCATAAAGTCCTCGGGATGTGTGCACAAGGGGCTTCTCAAATGTTTACCTCTCCCACCGCCCACTCTGAAATCTGTGGCCACAAACCTGACCGTGACCAGTCACAGATGGGTGACCAGGTGAGTTGTCATCTGCACCGGGAGGTTTTTGAGAAGGAGGGGGGCACAGTTATGGGCTGTTAATGATGCCAGGATGACCGGCATTAACTGGGCCTGCCCTGGGCACAGGCAGCAGGCGGTGGTTGGGAGTGGGGGGTCGGAGGCAGCAGGTGCAGAGGCACAGGCGGATCCTGAAAACTGGGTGACAGATGTGTTCAGCTCCACATGCCACTTCAGAGTCAACTGCGTCTGAGCTCTCTGGGGTGTGGAGCGTGTAGGCATAGAAGAGACAGGCGGATGAAGGGGCAGAGAGGTAGAAAAAGGCAGAGGCAGAGTGAGCAGTAGTTCTGATGTCTGTCTAGACTATGAAAACCCTTTTAAAACTCTGTGACGTAACTTGGTCGTGTACAAGCTCACCTTGCTACCTGTCTCCTGCAACAAGCACGAATTCCACAATCTGCAGGTTACACACGGTGCCGAGGTCATAAAGGCAATTGCACGTGGAGCCACCATACTGACTTAGGGCGTGGATAGGGCCTTCCACCACTTTTCTAGAAAGTGAACGGATTCCCCACATGATGACATCTCACAAGCAAAAAGACGACGCTAGGACCAAGAGCCTCACCTTTTTACCTGATGCCTGAAAAATCTTAATCAAGGTGCCCGATCTTCGATCAGCTCTAAAAATATAAACCTAAGGAATGAAAAAAAAAAATTGGTTAAGATGGAAGCGATGACCAAAGGTACTTACCAGCACCCTCCTGAGAGTCCTACTTAAATGGCCAACCAGGCACAAGGCATCACAAGCTTCAGTTGGCTGATAATGAGGAAGTCAGTGGGCCTTGCGTTTTACCAACTCTGCGAAAAGAGTGTCCTTCAATCCTGGGCAGAATTCACGTCCTCTGCTCCTGGACCACATCGTTTACGGAAGCCGTGCACAGTAAGTCCCGAGGACCTTGCAAATTACTAGTCAACAATTCACCTCTTAGATAAAGTGATTTTCTTCCTTGAAATATTTCTTTCCTCCCTAGGAGTTAGAGCTGTCACAGGTACAGCATTGAAAGACAGAGGGGTGGAAGGGAGAATTTTAGACAAAGCAGTCTTCCAAAGTGATTCCATAGAACACCAGAGCCGGGAGATCTGCTCGGGTAAACAGGAATTAAACATTAGGGGCGCCTGGGTGGCTCAGTTGGGTTCGAGCCCCACATCAGGCTCTGTGCTGACAGCTCAGAGCCTGGAGCCTGCTTCGGATTCTGTGTCTCCCTCTCTCTGCCCCTCCTCACCCATGGTCTGTCTGTTTCTCAAAAATAAATAGACATTAAAAAAATTTTTCTTATAAAAAAGGAATTAAACATTAAATCAATGCCTCTGCTGCAGGACTTTGTGAGACTTTAGTGTGCGCATTAACACCATGCATCTCTACCACAAAGAGGATCACTGATATGGAACTTCCCAAGTGACAGGACTATGGAAGTTCTTTCTCAAGGTGCATCTTTTTTTTTTTTTTTCTTTTTTTAATTTTTTTTTTTCAACGTTTATTTATTTTTGGGACAGAGAGAGACAGAGCATGAACGGGCGAGGGGCAGAGAGAGAGGGAGACACAGAATCGGAAACAGGCTCCAGGCTCTGAGCCATCAGCCCAGAGCCCGACGCGGGGCTCGAACTCACGGACCGCGAGATCGTGACCTGGCTGAAGTCGGACGCTTAACCGACTGCGCCACCCAGGCGCCCCTTTCTCAAGGTGCATCTTACGGGAACAGTGTCCCTTGAGAACTAGGGTCAGGGACCCTCCTGTGGCGTAAGCAGCCACCGCCTTAGTGAGAATGTGCTTGTGCCCTTGACCCCAGAAATGATCAACCACCAAAATCCTGCAGACCAGAGGTCTGTTCTAGTGTCCCTGGGAATGGGACAGTCAGCAACTTTATCAACTACGCCCCATTTCCCCAGCAACTCTCACATGATCCGACTGAAAGAAGCATTTTCAGGTTCTTTTTTTGTTAACAGAATACAAGATTCTCTCTGTCTGGCTCTATCAGTTACAAATACGGTTCTCGTCCTAAGACTTGACTATCTTAAGGCTATCACAAGCCTGAAAGGAAAACAATGCGATTAGATAAAAGTCCTTGTAACTGGGGAGAAAAGGATGCACTGAGGCATCCGCATGGCTGCGAACCAGGAGGTAAGCATTTTTGCCAACATTATAGACATCCTGGTCACACGCACACAGCTTCTTTCCTGAAGGACATTAGCAGCGTGGGGACAGTTCTTGGTGCTTCTTCACTCTACCACGTAGAAGAATCATGTGATCTTAAAGGATCTGCTTCCTTCTTGCATGACTCCCCCTGCTCAGTGCCCTAACATTTTATCTGGTTTCATTTTCAAAGATCCTTTGTCCCCGGCATCACTGTTAGTAGGGAGGAAGGGAAACTTCCAGAAATGAGGGCTGAGGCTCCTAACTCCTGCCCAGGAGCATGCAGGGAAATGACCCTCATGTATCAGTGAAGCCCAGTCAGCTGACCACACTGACCTGCTGGCTCAAGGCTCCAATTAACAGTGGTTCTGGCCCATCTGGGCCTCTCTAGAACCCAGACCCCACTTCTCTGAGCCCCCGGACATATGGCCAGACTCTATTCTAGGTCCACCCCATGGGCTCAGGTCCAAAGATCATTCCTTTGTTCAGACTTTTCTATCAGAGAACCCAACGTATTTGTTAAAAACGCAGGTTCCAGACTCATATAGACGTACTGGATGGAGATTTCCCTGGAGCTAAAGAATCAGCAAGCATGGTTGTTCGTATTCTCAGCCCCCCTGAGGCCATGCTTCCCAACACGACTCAGACAGCCCTAGATCCAGTCTAGGTCTTTCCTATACTCCGGGCAAATCCTTTAGGAAAAGTGACCCACATATTCCCGGTCCAGCCTTTGGGCTGAACCGGTCTCGGCTCTAGAACACTAGGGAAACAGGCCGCCTCGGTGGCTGTCGGTTGAGTGTTGACTTCAGTTCAGGTCACTATCTCGTGGTCCGTGGGTTCGAGCCCTGCGCTGGGCTCTGTGCTGACAGCTCGGAGCCTGCAGCCTGCTTCGGATTCTGTGTCTCCCTCTCTCTCTGCCCCTCCCCCGTTCACTTGCACTCCTTCTCTCTCTCTCTCAAAAATAAACGTTAAAAACAAAACAAAACAAAAAAAACCACTGGGGAAATAAACACGCGACCCTAGGCCCCAAGATAAGTAAAGTCCCAAAGATACCCAGGACTAGACTCGGCTCTATTAAGTCAAAGCCAAGATTGGAAAGAGCTTGGCAGAGTGGACAGTTTGAAGCTGGAGGGCGCTGGACGCCATTCACTTGGAGGATGCCACGGTGCCAACGGTTGGTCTCGACAGTCTCACGCACACGTAGTCAGCTGCAGAACGCAGCCGAGATGAGAAGGGGCCGGGAAGGGCGAGGTCTGGGAGCAGTGGTCACTCTCTGATTCAGCTTTCAAGGCACACCCACAAAAGCGGTTGGAAGGAGGCCGACAGGAGACTCACGAGGTCACCCTTTACCTGCCAGCCATCCAGCAGGGCATTCGGACCGAGTAAGTGACAAACCTCTACGACAGGGGCAGCACACTTCCCCCTCAGGTCTGGCCCCATGCTCTCGCGCAGACTTTTCTCCTCACCTTCCCGACGCCTTCGTCCTGGGGGGCACCTCCCACCACGTCGGTGGTGGACGGGCGAGAGAAGGAGCCGGCAGTCACTGCGTAGCCTGCAAAGGGCGGACATTAACCAAGGAGAGGATGAGACAGGGCAGAGGAGAAAAAGAGCCACCAGAGAAAAAAGGGTCTCAAGCATCCCTTAAATCTGGACAGTTACGACCCAGCTATTTTTGGAACATAAGCCACCAGGGAACAAACAGCCGTCAGTCTTCTCACATTGAAATGGCTCATCTCACAAAAAGTCATGTTCCCCAAGACATCAGGGGCAGGAAAGAGTGTTTTCTGAGGGTCCTCTTTAAAGCAGGTACTGTGCTAAATACTTTATACCTGCTTTTCTCTTTCTTTTAAAAATGTTTGTATGTATTTTGGAGAGAGAGAGAGCAAGCACAAGCCAGGAAGGGGCAGAGAGAGAGGGAGAAAGAAATCCCAAGTAGGCTCCACACTGTCAGTGCAGAGCCCAACGTGGGGCTCGAGCTCATGAACTGTGAGATCATGATCTCAGCTGAAACCCAGAGTCGGATGCTTAACCAACAGAGCCACCCAGGCACCCCTGTTTTTTTTCTTTTTGAGATAGAAGTTTCATACAGTGAAGCACATACACCTGAAGTGGAGAACTCATTGAAAGTGGCCCGATGTACACAGCCATGTGACCACCACCCGGAGTGAACAGAAGCATAGAACTCTAACCAGAAGGTTCCCTCCTACCCTCTCAAGTCAATGCCCTCCCTCAGGCAGACACCATTTGGATTCCTATCACTGTATATTAGGTTTACGTTGTTCTAGAAGCTCACTTAACATCACACCTGTGACATTCATCCATACTGAGTGTAAGAGTCGTTTCTTTTTATTGTCGAGCAATGGTCCACCGTATGAACAGGTCATAACACCTTTATTCTCCCGCTGCTGGGCACCTGGGCTGTTTCCAGTTGTTCCTGCTTTACTCCAAATAAAGCTGCTGTGAACATTCCTATGCATGTCTTTGGACGCCAGCATCTTTTAATGACACAGTTCTACGAGGAAGGCATGATCATTTCTTCCCTTTTACAGAGGTAGGCACTGAGACTAAATGTGGTTCAGTAACATGCCCAAGATAACATGGCAAGATTCAAATCCAATCTGTGCATCTCGAAAGCCCTTGCCGGTAACCACTATGCCACCCTCCCTCCTAAGAGAAGGCAGAAAGAAGCTGACAGTGGGTGGGTGGGTGGATGGATGAGGGAAGAGTTTGGACGCAAAAGGAGCCTAGAAACAAAGGCAAAATTCGTCTGAGCTTAGTCTAAATGTCTCCTGCTTCACAAGCAGGCTGAAAATTCTCTAGCTAGCATATATTCCCAAACTTTGTCCTCACATTTACACCCTAATGCTGTGATCACAGGCTGTTTGGATTTTGTGATGACACCCTATTGTGACCAATCCTTATTGACCATGTGGCCTGACCACATTACCTAAGAGTATTACGCGTGATCGCAAAGCCTCGAGTGACCCTTGAAAGCCTTTCAGCAACAAGGGTCTCTGGTACACAGGGAGAAGCCATGGGCCCTCAAGTTCAAAGGACCTATCCCAGACCCTAAAGCCAAACCTGAACCAAGCTCTCTGCTGCCTTCTCTCCACTCTCCAATCTACCAAACATACGCTGGGCCTCCCTGCTGTGTACCAAGCACTCTATCAAGTCCTGGAAACGTCAGACCAACTCCCTACCTCCAAGGTGCTCCCAGCCAAGTGAGGGGTCCATACCAGTGGTCAGTGCTGTCTCCACAGCCCAGGAGGCAGTTCTGCATTGGGACTCTGGGCTCTGAAACCACAGGTTTAAGCCCCCCACTCCACTCTTTACAAGCCACGTGATCTTAGCAAGTTGCGTACTTTTCTGTACCTCGGTTTCTCTGCCTACAAACTATTATTACGTGGGTAATAATAGTTGCCTCGTATGGTTGTCTCAGGAATTCAAAGAAATAGTATCCAGGAATACCTGGATGGCTCAGTCAGTTAAGCATCCAGCTCTTGATTCCATCTCAGGTCATGATCTCTTGCTTCATGAGACTGAGCTCCGTGTCGGGCTCTGTGCTGACAGCATAGAGCCTGCTTGGGATTCTCTTTCTCTCTATGCCCCTCCCCCTGCTTGCACTCTCTCTAAATAAATATTTAAAAAAAAAAAAAAAAGAGAAAATAATATCCAGAATGATAGCATTCAGGGCATGAACTAAGGAAAAGAGCCACATAAAATCTTCGCGCCCACAAAGACAGCCTATCTGTTGGTTGTATCTATCTTCTTTCTAGAAGGTTAAAAGAGCTGAGAACAGAAGAGAAATCTTCTGAGCCTGTGGTTCACCTTCGGCATTACCCTGCCATCCATCATGCTAATTATTGCTTCTTATCATTTCTATTTGCAACTGCTGTTGAGACCAGGAGGCGGAGGCTGCACCCAAAGAAACGCCGTGGAAAACCAGGATTCTATTGCACTCATGTTGTATCTGAACTTGAGGAACGGCTCAAACAAGAAAATAAAATGTCTGCCTCCAGCTCTGCAACACGATCACGGTTTTAATCCAGAGCCCTCCTTTGTTCTCTCCCTGCTGGGTGTGAGGCTCCATGTGAGGTGCCCGGAGGGAAAGTGGACCGAATTGGAACAATGCCCGTAAAAGCCAATAAACCCTTCTTTCCCCCCGTAAAGCAATAGTGTGTGAGCTTGGCGAGAATCGCTCCTGTTTCCCCTTCTCACCTGTCCACGTCCCTGAGCTACTCACCCAGGTACGTGTACCGCCTGTTCATGATCGCTTCGTCGTTCAGCTTGAAATAGGTGTTGTCCGTAAGGTTCAGCACCTTGACTGTGCCGGCCCAATAAAATGACCCTGGGGCACCCATCACCACCAGCTCCTGCCGAAGAGAGACCCAGAGGTGAACGCGGAAGGAAGCGGAAGAGGGAGTGCAGGTGAGAGCAGGGAAAACCACAGCCACATCAAAGAACTCCACGAAAGACGCCTCGCACCCCAGACTTTCTTCCGCTGAGCAATAAAAATGACTTCAGCGGGTCCCCTGGCATGACGGGATCCACCAAACACCCAGGGTCGGCAGGGATACAGACGGGGAGAACGCAGCGAGGTGACGACAGAGTGACTCACGTACCAGGTCCCTAGCCCACCCACGGGTGAGCTCACGCACATCCCCTCACCTTTACGCCTGCATCAAACGAGGAAATGGCATCAGTGCACATCCTTATAAATCACAGAATTCCAGGAAACAGAGCTCATGAAAAGACAGCACCCCCCTCAGCATCCTGGCCACCGACCCCACCTCCCCCACGCAGAGCGAGGAGAAAACAAGTGACCAGAAGCATCTCTGTGCACACCGTGGAGATCCCCACATCCTCGCTCAGGACGCTCTTCCCAGGAAGGGCTCTGAAGCTCGCATTTGTGGCTGCTGTGACCCACTGCGAACTCACGACAGAAGTACGAGGGCAGAGAGGTTAAGGGAAGGACAGGGACTCGAGACAGCAGGAGACAGCACTGCTATTAAAAACAGACCCAGGGGGCACCTCAGCGGTTAAGCGTCTGACTCTTGGTTTCAGCTCAGGTCGCGATCTCACGGTTTGTGAGTTCAAGCCCTGCGTCGGGCTCTGTGCTGACAGTGTGGAGCCTGCTTGGGATTCTCTCTCTCTCTCTCTCTCTCTCTCTCTCTCTGTCCCTCCCCTGCTCATGCTCTATCTCTCATTCTCTCAAAATAAACTTAAAAAAAAAAAAAAAACAGACCCAGAAACACAGAGACACAGCCGTCTCCAGCGTTTGGAGTGGGGGCAAATGGCCCTGCGCCCTCAACGGGGCCAAGAGCAGGTTTGTGCTACAAAACCACCCAATGAGCAATGCTGATGAGCATTCCAAGTGCTCCCAAGTGATGTACCTACCTAAGGGGGTCAGCGTGGACAAAGCATGGTTTTACCCACAAGAACAGGCATCATCACTGTGCTAAAGAAAGTTGGACATGACCTAAATGTCGAACAGCGGGGATTCTAAATCATGGCACATCCAATTCAACAGAATCCTGCAGCAATAAAAATACTGTAGATCTGATAGCACTGAGACAGAATCACAAAGTGCCAAGTTAATAAGGACAGGCCACACAATATACAGTCAATGATCATGTTTTATAAAAGGAAAAAAGATGCATACAGGAGCAAGACAGACAAAACAAAGACGAGCAGCATAAGTCCCAAACGTTTATGGTTTTTTCCACTGGGTGATAAGGATTACAGGAATCCCTCCCTTCTTCCGGCACTTTTTTTTTTAAGTTTATTTATTTATTTTGAGAGAGAGAGAGAGAGCACGCAAGTAGGGAAGGGGCAGAGAGAGAGAGGATCTGAAGCCGGCCCCACCCCTGTCCGTACAGAGCCCGACGTGGGGCTTAAACTCAATGAACTATGAAATCATCACCTGAGTTGAAGCCAGACGCTTAACCAAGTGAACCCCCCAGGCGCCTCATCTCTCTCTTTACATCTCTCTCTCATCCCTAAAATTTATTTTGTTTTTCAAAATTCCAGAACAATGACTGGACACTGACAAGGAAGTCCCCTCCCCAAACGCCCACTGTGTTCCAAATGGAGCACACAGTGTGGCCGCTGTAGGCAGGGTGGTGCCCACTACAGCGCTGTGTCCACTGGATGACCCTGGCTGAGGCCTGCCTGCCTGCCTCCCTGCCTGCCTTCCTGCCTGCCTGCCTTCCTTCCTTCCTTCCTTCCTTCCTTCCTTCCTTCCTTCCTTCCTCCCTTCCTCCCTTCCTTCCCCAACAGGGAACGCCGTCTCTTGATTATATTTTCCAAAGTAGCTACACTGCACTAAGAATCAATAAAAGTTATTTTCCTAACAAAATCATGAGTTTTTCCTCCAACACTATGAAGCACCTGCGATTACATATGGAAGCTTCTACTAGAGACACAGACCAACAAAGTCCCTTTGTATGGCCTTCCCTGGGGAAGGTGACACGGAAACGTACAAAATACTTTAGACAAAAAAATTCCATCTGAAAGGGTTCGAAGACAACTTTAACGGAAACCCCTCAGCTGCACAAAAACACCAAAGGAGAGGGCCACGCAGACACTGGAGACCAGACACTCCAATGTCATCAAGGCCTCTTGCTCCCAAAACACGGCCACCCCTCCTTTGGCCCTTAGGGTCCCCCACATGCTGTCCTATTTCAGAAACGTCCTTCCAGGTTGACCCCCCTCTGCAGAGCTGGCTTCAACACTGTGGGCGCCTGGGTGGCTTAGTCAGCTGAGTGTCTGCCTTTGGCTCAGGTCATGATCTCTCAGTCTGAGGGGTCGAGCCCCACGTCCTCTGTGTGCTGACAGCTCGGAGCCTGGAGCCTGCTTCCGATTCTGTGCCTCCCTCTCTCTCTGCCCCTCCCCTGTTCATGCTCTCTCTCTCAAAAAGAAACATTAAAAAATTAAAAAAAAAAAAAAGCATATCACTTTCCACACTCAGAACGCATCACTGAAAACACACAGGTGGTGGTGCTTTTATTAAGTCCCACCCCCTGTACTCATCTGTGCTGTGCAGGGACTGTGCTAGTTCTAGAAGGAGTGTTAGACAAATGATCAGTTCATCAGAGGAGAGAGCCTTTTTCCTTGGGCTTGAACTCAGAAAGGAAATTGGAATCGGTGTCCCAACACACAGGCCACGGAAGAACATAAGGACCAGTATCCCTGGTGCCAATCGCACACACCATATAACAGCTTTCTCTACCTGCAGCCCCTCCTAAGCCAAAGCCTTGAGCATCACCAGAGACCCCCGTGAGGCTCTTTAGGACACCAGGTGGTAGACACGTTGCTTTCTGATGATTTAAAATCAATCCAGCATCGGGGCCCCTGGGTGGCTCAGTTAAACATCCGACTCTTGATTTTGGAATCAGGGGCCCAGGTCACGATCTCACAGTTCGTAGGATCGAGCTCCACATCGGGCTCTGTGCTGACAGCACAGAGCCTGCTTGGGATTCTCTCTTCCCCTCTCTCTCTCAAAATAAATATTTAAAAATATACATTTAAAAAATAAAATAAAATAAATCCAGCTTAAAGACTCAGAACTATATGTCTAATATATCCCTGCACCCACCCTCTCACAAACGTCACAAAGAGTCTAAGAAGGCAATCCCTCTCCTCAAAATCCTTTATTTTTTGTTCATGTTGTATTCATTTTTGAGAGAGAGAGAGAGAGAGAGAGAGAGAAGGCACGAGCAGGGGAGGGGAAGAGAGAGAGGGATACACAAAGCAGGCTCCAGGCTCTGAGCTGTCAGCACAGAGCCAGGCACGGGGCTCGAACCCATGAGCCATGAGATCACAACCTGAGCCAAGGTCAGACGCTTAATCGACTGACCCACCCAGGCACCCCATCTCCTCAAAAACCTTTAAAACCAACCAACTCTTATCTATCTTGCCTCTCCTCTTTGTGTTCATGCCTCCTTCTCCCTTGGTTCAAACTAGATAACCTGAAGCTGAGCCTGAGACCCACGGGGAGAGGCAGGATACTGTCCTCCTGAAACTCCCTGGATTCGGCTCTCGAGGTCACCAGGGATGGCCTGCACCCTTGTGGCACTGTTCACAAGCGCCAGGAAAATGGCCTCAACGCTTAGCCCCCCACCACCCAGAAACAGCCCATGCAAATGGCGCACAGAAACGCAAGTTTCTCTGCAAGGCAAAGGCCACCCCGCCTGACTCACATGTAGAATCCCTTCCGTAAACAGTGAGGGCCTTTTCCCTAGGTACACATGTTAGCAGAACCTCCAGAGGTACAGGGGCGTGGGGTGTGCCTCAGGAGCCACGGGCTTTTCTCTGTGAGCTGTAAGTTGGCCTGAGCGGAGGTGGGGGCAGGGCAGATGGGCACTCAGGCTCTGCAACAGAAGTCTGTGTCCCAGACTTCACCCAGATGTCTCCAGGCTCCCGCGGTAGTGCTCCTACATGGGTGGGCCGGTCCACGTCTCCTCTAGCTACTCACAAGGATCTGTCTCTGTCCTCCGGAGCTACAAAAATAAAGGTCCCAGGAAGCTCTCCCTTATCCTCAGTAACAGGCTAAAACTCACGTGGTATCCCTAACGCAGACAGCTTTGGTAACCCCTGGGTCACAGACCTTCAGGCCAAGCAGGCGCCTTGGGCCAGCGTCCTTGGGGGCAACGTGGCCACATCCGGAAGGCCACAGAGGCAGTTGCCAGCCCTGTGCAGGAACAGCCGAGCCCACAGCAAAAGCAAGCCCAAGTGACGAGGTCAGCGGGAGGGCAGGCGAGGGGACAAGTCCTGCCTGACCCTTTCAACCACATTTCCTGCACGGCCTCCGACAGCTGAAGTTCCAGAAACAAGAGAGGCCGTGAGTTCAAAGACCTCGTGTTTAGGGAGGCGAAGCCCAGGGCAGCCAGGAGACGGTGGCCGGGTCAGAGGGCTGAGCCTCGCACTCCCCGGCCCCACAACCCCACATCACATGCCCTCCAGCCCCGCTGCTGTTTGCCCAGCCGGCACATGCTGAGACTCCGTGGCTCCCAGAGCCTCGAGTTCCAATAGGTGCCCCCGTTCCTCTGGTCACCAGCAGCCGGCACGGGCACCTGGGTTCCCATCCGGCCCTGCCCTTCCCGCTCCTCCTACCAAGACCCCCTTCTGCCTGGCCCCGATGCCCTGCCTTCCCTGACCTTCTGGCTGGTGACACCAGAAGGACACCCCCTCCCTGGGAACTCCTTCTCTCCCTTAGTTCTCCACCAACGGCTCTGATGAGCCCTCATTTCTCATTTCTGTAATGAGTCTACTTTTTCTCCCCCGCTGGCTAAAGGAGGCATCCTTCCCCCCACCCCATCCCCAGTTCCAGGCTGAGCATACCCAGCCCCCTTGCAGAGGTACTAGCCATGGCCAGATCCGAGTTTCCAGCTCGGGTGCGATTGTGGTCTCTGCATCCCAGCATCTTCCAAAAACACCTCTGAGTGCCCCACCCATCACCTCACACGTATCCCTTTACCTCCTCCGGTGATTCATCTCTAGACAGCCTTCTTCCCACTGGGGCACTACTGTTCTCCAGAACCCTGGCTCAACACATACTTCGTCTATACCACAGTCCCCTGGCCATCCAGCCCACTGATACGGCCTTGATATTCTCCAATTGCTCCGCTCGCTTCTTATTCCCGCCCTGCTGTTTTGTGGCTGGACCCCATCACAGACGACCCCCCCCCACCCCGCCGCCCCGGCCTCCCTCCAGGCCCTCCCACTTTTAAAGTCCTGGCCACACCAGCCCACCCAGCCTTTCTCTCTCAGCACTGCCATCCATGGTGTCCGTGACCTGCTTGTGGGCTGACAGTGGTTCCCTGTTGCCTACTGAGCTGAGTCATACTTTATAGACCTTCCTGGAGGAGCGACAGCCCCAGAAGTTACCCCATCTAAATGTGCAACAGAGATGGAAGAAGTGTATGAGCCTGGCATACGGCAGGATAGGATTTCAAGCCAGTGGGGGGAGAAAACCTGGTCGGCAGACCAATATGACAACAAGCAACTACACGTTTAGGAAAACAACGGAGTTTGTTTCCAGCATATAATGTCTGCGAAAACAAATCCGAGAGATAAATCTTTTTTTTCCTTAAATGTTTTTAATGTTTATTTATTTTTGAGAGAGACAGAGACAGAATGCGAAAGGGAAGAATAGAGAGAGGGAGACACAGGAATCTGTGTGCTCCAGGTTCGAAGCTGTCAGTACAGAGCGCCCGACGCAAGCAATTGGAAATCATCAACGTGAGAGATCATGACCCGAAATAAGTCGGACGCTCAACCGACTTCATGAACCACCCAGGTGCCCCTGACAGGGCTCGATTTTGAAAGATTCCTCAGGCTGCTGTGCAGAAAACACAGGGTGGAGTTGAGAACAGATGCAGGCTGAGGTGATGGAAATGTTGTCAAGCTAGAGAGGCCATGGTTACACAACACTGTGAATGCAGTAAATACCACTGGATTGTTTGCTTCAATATGGTCAATATAGGGTCACCCGGGCGGCTCAATCAGTTAAACACGGACTCTTGATTTTGGCTCAGGTCATGATTTCACCGTTTATTTAGTGGGACTGAGCCCACGCTATTGCAGTAAGACAGCACAGAGCCTGCTTGGGATTCTCTCTCTCCCCCTCTCTCTGCCCCTCCTCCCACTCAGGCTCTCTCTCTCTCTCAATATAAACTTTTAAAAAATGGTCAAAATGGTCAATTTCATGTTATGTATATTTTACTACAAAAAAAAAAAAAGCAGATGCAGGGAGACTAGTTCAAACCAGAGCACCTCAGGGGCACCTGGGGGGTTTTCAAGCTGTGGTTGAGTCCTGGACTTTGTCAGGGTCATGTGATCTCACAGTTCAGGAGTTTCCAGCTCTCAAGGCTGGCTCTGTGCTGACAGCTCACCTGAGACTGCTTCAGATTCTGTGTCTCCCTCTCTCTCTGCCCCTCCCCTGCTCACACTCTGTCTGTCTCTCTCTCTCTCAAAAATAAACATCAGGGGTGCCTGGGTGGCTCAGTCGGTTGAGCATCCAACTTCGGCTCAGGTCACGCATAGTCTCATGGTTTGTGAGTTCGCTCAGCCCTCAAGATCAGGCTCTCAGGATAGTTTTCAGGAGCCTGGAGCCTGCTTTGGTTTCTGTGTCTCCTTCTCTCTCTGTTTCTCCCCTGCTCATGTTCTGTCTCTCTCAAAAATAAATAAAGATTAAAAAACATTTTTTAATAAATAAGCATCAAACCAGCGCATCTCCAGGTGACGACCGTGGCTTTTCCAGAGGGTGATGATGGTGGGGAATTGAAACGGTCACATTTGGGATATGTTTTGGAGGTTCAAATAACAGGAGTGCAGATGAATTCTAAATGAAAAGTACTCTTTCGTTTGGGCCTGGACAACCACCTGGATGACTGGGCCACTTACAGGACCTGACACAGAACTTCTCACACGGCACATAATCAAAATGATGCCTGAGAAACGAGGGGTGGATGCGAAGGGGACACTCAAAGTAGGTAAGACTCACTTAAGAACAGTCCCTCAAGATGTACCAGCAGCCAAAGATCATGGCACCACTATACAGGCACATAAGTATTCAAGTGCACGGTCCTTTGCAACTTGGGAAAGGGGCTGGCTGAGTTGCATACAAAATCCTACGATCTCTCCACCTAGGACACAGGAATGATAGGAGGTGACGCTTAATACATCCTCCTCACTGCCAGCAACAAGACACACACTTGACTGAGCATCATCCCACCTGCACTCCCCGCGAATCAATTCCTTCCATGGGTCTCCGAGTCAAGAGGACTCCTTAGAGAAACCGTCCAACTAGGGGTATCCTCCAGATGAGCCCGCCCACCCTCCCCCGGTGCTTTCTGGCCAGCAGGTGCCCCCGCCCGTTTCCATAAGCTTCCCTGGATGCGACTGGAGGCATCATCTCAAGAAGCTCCCAAGACCACCATCAGCCAGGAAATGAACACCACCAGCAGGAGGGCAGAGATGCCCAGCGGCCGACACCCACCTCGGTGAAGAAGCCTGCTATCCCAGCCTGGCAGGAGCCGTGTTCCTCTCCGTACTTCTTCTTATACTCTAGAGGGGAGGAAGGAAAGAAGCAAACCACAGCCTCGTCAGTCTGTACCGGTCGTGTGTGGAGCGGCTGAGCGTGCTGGCCACTTCCCCGTGCACCGCTGTGGGCCGGGCCCAGGGACGCCTTCCAGGCTGGGGTGTGGAAGGAAAGTCTCAGGAATCCACCAGACCTCAAAACTCCAGGCTCTGGTGCCATCGGGCCGTGAGGCTCCCAAGCGCCCCAGCAGACTTCCTGCACGCACGTAGGGGCGAGAGGAGCGGCAGCCGTGGTAATTAAGTGGGAGGCGGGTGACGATTATTTCATTTACTCCAGACAGGATGGAGCGCCCTGGGTGAAAAAGGAGCTGAACACATGACCCAGAAATGGAATGATGTGGCCATCCCTGTGTGCAGTCCCCTGGAAGACAACCCCTCCTTAGAGCTGGAGGCAATATGATTCCTGCCATCCAGCCAGAAACCAGCCATCGGAGCCTGGGGCTGCAGGAAGAGGGGACCCCACCACACCTGCCCCGCACTCGGTTACACTATCACTGATGGGGTATGGTGACGCTATACATTCACCCCTGTATCTTCCATAAAAGGGGAAGCTCTCTCCAGGTCAAAATAAACACAAGCAGTTAAGTTCTTTTTCCTCTACCGTTCCCTCGCCGCTCCCAACACTCTGACCCGACAAAGGGGGCATTCTGTTGCTGATGTTCTGTTCTTCAGTTGGAAGGAAGATGTTTTCACACGTTCTAGGCACTGTTAGCTGCGTCCACGCACGCCACTGCCTTGGTCTCTCATCCCTGGGAGCCCATACTGTCATCGGTTAAATAGGTAAAACTCCTGAGGCTCAGAGAGGTTAGGTGAATTGTTCAAGGTCACACAGCTAGTAAATGGCAAAGCCAAGATTCCCATTTGTTCACCTCTGTGGCCTATCAAAGGCTCTGTGGAGTGAGTGATTACTCAAAACCCATACAGTGACCAGCCGGCTGAAATAATTACATGGGTAAAGACACGAGGAGAGAGAGAGACATTCTGCTCAGGTGGCTCTGATTAATTACACATGAAACCAACACTGTCGGATACAGGTTCATGGCTGCCTGCCCCTGGGCACCTGCAGGCCTGGGCTACCCAACGGAATAACCCAGTGATCCCCATGTCACCCCGGGGCTCTTGGCACATCTCTGCTACCATTAAAGGCAATATACTTAATTTTGAAACAAAATAAATAATCCAGAGGAACAATGAAGCTATGATTGCAACAAAAAGCCACTTCCTGCAGCTCGAGTGTGCACTAGAGGAGAAGGGGGAAAAGGACCCTGGGGAAATATACAGAGTAATTCAGTTTCTAACAACACTCACCGCAGAGCCTGGTAACATTTTCCAGTAAGTGGCCATTAACCGACTGCTAAATTACAACGGAATGTCAATTGAGTTACTCCTCTTCCTTGAGAGGGCTAGATCAGTTCCTCCAGCTTGTTCTGTTATTACAAGGAGAACTCACAGGCCTGTCAGCAAGCAACCCAGGGACAATGGACCCCGCCTGTTCTCTGCAAAAATCTTGCACCAGGGCTGGAAGTGGGGCTGATGCAAAGTCATAAAGACATCACGCATCAAACTGTCTGATGGCAAGAAATAATAAAAATTAATACTAAATCCTACATCAAATAGCATAATGGCAAGAAGGATCAAAATGTCCCAACCCGAACAAACAGTTATATTACATCTGGAAGGTCCGGCAAAAAGCGTATCCACCCCCACTGCCTCCGGGGGTTAAACAGCCAAATGTACCTCTCATGCAAATGAACCGAAGAAAATTCAGACCCCACCAGCTGAACGAAGGGACAGAGCAGGACACATCGGTTCAGCCTCATCAATGTATGACATGAGTAAGGACTGCGCAGGAATCTTTGACATTTCAAAGCAAATAGTCTCAAGGTCTCCTTTGTAACAGGGACTCCAAAAATAGCAGATATGAAAACGTGTCTTTCTCCATCTCAGCCCCAAACTGTGCTGGTCAGCTCTACGCCAGGAGCAGGACGCAGGGTGCCTGAGGGAGCCACGGCCACTCCGGGAGCTAGCAGTGCTCCCACTCCCGGCCCCCAAAAAAGTCCTGAGCCAGCATCGAGGTACCCTTAGAGGCCAGCCCCAGGCTCCCCAAGCTGGGACGGCCTCATCAGAGTCTGAGGGCCAGGGACACACAGAAAACAGGCACGATCCCACCGGCTTTGACTTTCTGAGACCCAAGGATCTACACCTGCCTTCTTGGGATGCTCTAGAACAAGGGATCAAACCACGTGGGGCTCCTGACTAGTACCCAGAGCGCTAACCTCCCAGAAACTTCTGTAACGCCGATTCACCCCTTCAACTTGGAACAGGATCCAGTCCTAATGCTTCTACCCCTCCCCCCCATCCCACCACTCATACTCTGCGGGGAGGAGAGGCAGTCACGGCAGTTCAAGTCTAGGAAGGATCAGCTGGTGTGACCAGATCAGACACTTGCATATTCTGAGCTGTCCACAGCCTTCCAGAACTCCTGCTCAGAACAGCTTCTCTGTCCAGGTAAGCCTGGAGTGTATGTAAACCATACCCCCTCCCCATCACAGCATGCGTTTGTTTATCACGGCTGATTCGACACCAAGATGAATTGGTTCATCTCACTGTCCCCAACTAGCCTTGTGCCAGTTAGGAGCAAGAGCCAGCGCTGGTATGCTAAGGGAACACGCAGGCAAGTGGCTCTGTGCACAGCCCCAAGGCCCAGGCGGAGACATAAGAGGGGCAAGCACATTCCTCTAGACACGAAGCACCGGAACTCTCCAACCTACATGCTTTGGACCTTTGTCCCCAGTGCTCTGCCAGCCCTGACCTCTGCCTTCCAATAGGTCAGGCTCCCTGACCACCAGCCCCAGCCTCGTTTCAAAAGGAGTTGTGTTCTGGGTACCAGGAATCCTGAGCTCCCCGCCCGGGGCCACCACTAACCCCAAAGGCCTAAGGATTGTGGTGGTGGTGGTGGTTGGGATTGGAGCAGGGCAGGGACCCACAGGATCGATGTTTCTGGGCTTTCTAAACCTAGATTGGCTAATTCTACTTCGGGCAATTCCGTTCCCTTTGGGGCCTCAGGAGGAAAGGGACAGAATGCTCAGATCCAGTTCCTGAGACGGCAGGAAAGCCTGTATACCACAGAGCTTTGAAAAGGGAGGTAGGCATGGAGACAAGAGGCTGCCGCATCCCAGCGTCCCCAAGAAACCCCCCGCCCAGGTCACAATCCCTTCCTCCACTGAGAAGTCCAGGCAGTGCAGGCTGGAAGGATGGGGTCGGACCTCCAGACGCCTGTGTCCCCAGAAGAACTTCTCCTGCACAAACACAGGCTGTGGGCCCCACATTGGCGACTCCTGGCCATGTCCACACAATCTCCACCTGCCCCAAGGATGTGGCCGGGCAGAGAGCTACAACAAGCCCGTACTCTTGCCGCCGTGGAACAAAACATTTATCCACCTTGAAGCAGCAAAGGGGAATCAGGCTTGGCATGACAGCAGCCCACGGATGCAACAACAAACCTAACACCGTTTAATCCAGCGGGACTGAATCCCAGAAGCCAAAGATGTGGCTGAACAAGGGGACCCGGAAATCACACGGCGGAGGTGGGAACAGGTTGCCGTGGGTGGGTTTGAATTTCTTGGCCGGCGGCACACGCTGATCCATTAACTTGTGTGGCTCCTCCGTTCTAAAAACGGTAGTATTTTCCTTGGGTGAGCTGCTGCCTTTACTAAGCCCTGTCTAAACAGAAGGCAATTCAGAGAGGAAAAAAATAGTGGTTTCCAAGTGTTCACAACCCATGACTCAATACATGGACCTTACGCTAATGAATTTTAATTCGATCAAGAATTTAATTGGGTGGGGTCACCTCCTGCACCTCTTCCCCAATTGCTGGTGGGATAAAACCAGCCCATGGAAGGATCAAGATTTACATGCAGCATAACATATTATTCCTTCTGATCTCTCTTCCTATTTCAGAAAGGTTCGGCTCTCAAAGATAGTCTCTGCAATGCATCGATTTTAAAATTATTTTTCCCGTAGCTCCTGAACTTAGCCATGAAACAGAGACAAAAATAGCCTTCTAGTCTTAAGTCGTTTCTGAATTTTTGCTCAATTTCTGAGTGAATACCAAGTAACTAATCATTCAGCTACAATTTAGAGGACAATGAATTCGGGAAGACAGATCTCTGCTAGTAAGAAGGGCAGCTCAACACGTAAAACTGAAAAGACAAAACTATCCTCAGTTGCAAGGGACCACAGTCTAAGTGGAAAAAAAAAAAAAGTAAATAACCTAAATAGCTAGGTTAGAGAAGAAAGGAAACCATTTTATCAAAATAATTAACAATTAGGGGCGCCTGGGTGGCTCAGTCGGTCAAGCATCCGACTTCAGCTCAGGTCAGCCTCATCAATGTATGACATGAGTAAGGACTGTGATCTTGCGGTCTGTGAGTTCGAGCCCCGCATCGGACTCTGCACTGACCGCTCAGAGCCTGGAGCCTGCTTCACATTCTGCCTCTCTCTCTGCCCCTCCCCCACTCGTATCTGTCTCTCTCTCTCTCAAAAATAAATAAACATTAAAAAATTTGTGTTTAAATATTTAATAATTAAGCAATGGTGGGCATTATAAGGCAAACTACAGAAAGCCAGAAACTTACAATAGAGAGAAGCTTTAAGAGGGGAAGAGATCTTTAGAGCATGTCTATAATTCGAATCCTATCCATTTATTTTACAGATGGAGTCACTATTGCTCAGAGAGGGCAAGGAGTCTGTTGCAAGGCACACAGCAAATTAGGCTGAGTCAGGATGAAAGGGCAGGGCTCCTGAATGCCCACACCATCATGCTTCACAGAGCACATCTGCAGTGATAAAATTCTTATCCTTTAAAAAAAAAAAAAAGTTTTCCATCGATGGATGAATGGATACACAAACTGTGGCATTCATTCAGTGGAATATGAAGTCTTAGGGAAGGAAACTCTAATGCGTGC